TTTGTTTCCCGAAAGAACTGCTTAAAACAGCCTATTAGAAACCCACGAACCCAAGACCAGGTGCTTAGTAGTGCAATACCAATTTTGCTGGTATCTACACAAATTCGAATCCAGTATAGCGTATTGGTACACCATTACATCTCTCTGCATTTTTATTTTTCCAGAAAGAAAGAGAAGAGATCTCCGGTCGTGTCCTCAACTAGATGTGCTTGCCAATAAGTGATATTTAAAACTTCTATAAAGAGGTACAATTGCACTGCGAAATAACACCACGTGCTATCTTTATTACAGGTGAGCTTCAATAAAGATTCTGCATGGTGTAAATTTAACACCGTTATAATAGTGTAGGATTTCAGACACGGACCTGATCCCCGCACCAGCCACACATTGGATCCAGAGCGATACACTCCCCGCAAGTCCTTGCCGCTGAGCAGATGTTATCCTCTAAGTCTTGGGGATCGATTGACGGTGGCTCTGTAACTGCTTTAAATATGAACATAACAATGCCATGAGCAAAATTATGCTTGATTGCGAAACATGCAGATAACGCGAAGAAGGGTTGAAGGCAGATAGGATAATTTGATTTTCGTGCATTTTTTTCGTTTCCAATAATAGAAACACTCACAATCCAAAGGAGAATGCTCAAAACCAAACATGTTCAAGTTTCAGCCCAGTTTAGTGGATATTACACTTTCGAGAAAACAGTGATAAAAACATCCGCAGCAGGCTTTTGATAACGAAACACGATTTCGTCAATAGAACATTTTTTCATTTCCATAGGATATTTTTTACATTTTTCATTTCCATAGTCTATTTGACTGATCGTTGAAAATCACCTACATGTCTCGATTTCGTCTAAATGACAGCGAGCCAGACGAAATAATTTCACGGGGGTGTGTAGTACCAGTACGATCTTTAATAATAAATTGCTAAGTTACTTTTGGGTAAATGCAAATGATCCTATATGCCTATAAACAATTAAAGGGATAGAGGTAAAGGCTTTGTTATACGGGGGCGGGGATGGGATGCTCCCCCCATATACATGCACATATTTTCCTAGCCCCGAATCGCATCATTTCCAGCTAGCATTTCCTGAGATTCTGCCGTCATGTATGAAGAATAATTTGCAAACTTTTGAATATCGGAATTGGGTTTTTGTTTTCTTCCTTTTTTAACAACGAAAGTATTAGATTTTCCCAATATTCCAAGAACGATACCGATACTCCAACACTAAAAGTTTGGTAACCGATATAACCATCTAATTTCTGCAGTTTAGAGCCGAGCCTGTCAGTATTATTTTGATGGGGGAAATAAAACAAAAGTTTAAAATAAAATCCCAAGGTTTTGGTATGTTTGAGCACAGTGTTTCTGCTTCCTTGTTTTACATGACGTGTTGTGTGTTGGAAATAAAAGGTTTTAGTAATTCGTCCGCCAACTGCAAAAACAGGAAATAGCCAAGATGATCGAAATTAATTACCAATTGTGGCGTTAAGAGACGTTTCTACAGTTGGTGGTTCACACGAATAAAAGAAAATGATGTCATTTTTACACTTCACTAGGACCATATTTGGAAAAACAAAAGGAGAAATGAAACAGAAAAGTCCCGTGGGAAGAAAACCAGATTTTGTTCCTTAAAAATCAGGAACTTGTGTTTCTGTTTCCTGATACCTTTTTCAAAAAAAATAATAATATCCAAGTCAAGTTTAATACACTGTATAGAGAAATATTATTCTTCTATATAATTGGCAGTTAATTTTGTACATTTGTAGAAATTTTGAAATTTTGATATTCCACAGATAGTAAGCTAGCGCTCTTTAACTAAAAACAGACTAAAACCAACTATTATAGACTACAAAAAAATCTCACCTTGTGCATTGCACATCGTTGATAACAAACTTATTAGCACCATGGTGGCCCATCTTAAATGTCTGTATCTGTACCGCCCGTCCATGTCTGCTGACAGTTTGGCTGGCAGTTCTTTTCTCTCCGGGGGACTGTCAAAATAATCACAGGAAAAATGTTCATCAATGATTATGCGGTTCAGTTTCATCTATTCGGCTAAAGAACCTAAATAATGACAATTCAGAGAGAGAGAAGGTGTCTGGAATGGATGTTAATAGAGACGCGGTTTGAAGATTTTGGACCATTCGGTACATATTTCCAGTCTATTGTCCTATTTTTGGAGCCCGATCATTGTTCAGTAATGTTTATATTCCATATTTGATATCGTTATGGAACTTTTTTTAATACAGCCGGTTTGTACCCTATGACAAATTTTGGACATTTTGTTTACTTTTATTGCCCCTGGCCCATCTTTGTTTTTGTGATTTTTTTTCGATCGAACTAATCATAATAATACACAATGTACATGTTATTATAAATATTTATTACGGGAAATGGGTCATTTGGGAGACATTCCCATATTCTTGTGCACAAAATGTTTACATCTTTAATGCTACCTAACCCCAAATTGACCTTATCCTACCCCACGAATTTGGGTACATTTACGTTTTGGACCACGAGCGATCGATCTCTAGCCTATTAGCGACGGTAAACTTGTGCCTTAAATAGGAGCTGTGACATTAATGAAGTGTCTCCCTAATGTCCGGTGCCCCCCTAAGGTGTAATTTATGACGACAAAACGTCCCCTTTAAGTAATTTAATAATAATACTTAATCGAAAAGGACAAACATTTTTGGAATAAAAGCAGTTTCGGGGTTTTTCCCCCCAAAATATTCATTAAAACAAACTGAGCCTGTGTGGCTGTTTAATTAATTAGTCTCCTGTGTCCTTATAAGGAAGTGAAACTGACATTCTATAACATGCTTTGTTTCATAGTTAATCCAAATAGAGCTGCATGCTGCGTTTGATGCCTTATCGCAAAATTTCAAATTAAATATTGCTGAATTTGTTGCCTTATAGTCTTAGAGTTTATGACAATTTATGAAGCAAGTGTCTCAGTAAGACAAGACCCCTTCCACCTAAAAGACGACATTCCAATGGTTACCTGTTATTTTTATTTAGCGAGCGTAACAGTGCGCGACTCTGCCCCTGGTCGTTCATCACTTATCTTCAGTCGATAGCAAGATGCACCGAAAGCTACGATGCGTACAGCAGTACATGTTATTATACTAAACACGATCAATTCACGTGAACCAAAAACCGCGCTCCCAGATCCTGTTCATCATGAAGAAGTTTAAGGACAGAGGAAAGGAAAATCGTGGTTGGTTCTTTTGGCCTTAAATTCCTGGATCCACTTCAACCGGATGCTCCGGAAACTGTAAGCCCACTTGGAAGTTCATCAAGGAAGCAAATGACTTCTACATTTTAGCATGCATTTATTTCAAGTTGTCCACCCTCACTCACGTCTACTCTCAATTTTTTTTCTTTTACGCGAAATCCAGTGTATTAATTAGCCGAAAAAGTGATCATTTTTGATCAGGAGTAGTTAATGGTATAAACTTAAGGTGCTCACTGAAGCACCATTTTGCCGTATAGAGGAACGGACTTTGTTCTGGAAACCATTATTGTTCACCCAAAGAATATCATAGTCTTGGATGGGTAGTTGTTTGTCAATATTCGAGAATGAATTCATTGCTACATGTAAAATCGTTCATTTCCTCAATCACATATATCCTCTCACTTTCTGTATCCACCGGCCTTTTGCACAGTAATGCTACATAGGTTTGTGCAGTGGGACATTAATCCATTGTCCACAGTGGTTTAGCGTGCTGCTACACAAACTGGGTTGCTGTGTATAATTTGTAAGATTGTATGTGTGATCGAACGTGTGTTTATACACAAATTATCGACAAAGCGATCACAATATAGATTTACGCAATTCCGTGCACTCGTTCGCTGGATATACTGTGTACAGAGATATTTAGTTTCAGGAAACCTGAAGAGGAAATCGTACTGTACCATAAATAACTTAATTTCACAGAACAAAGTAACTGCATGAACATGAGCACATTTAACAGTTGTTGACTAGTGTGATGTGGGATATGACGTTTCCATTGATCTCCATATGGAGATCAATGGACGTTTCGAATACCCAAGGGGCGCATAGCACCTGAGGCGAAGCCGAGGGTGCTATGCGCCCCTTGTTATACCTATGTCTTGCTTTCTTTCTTTTTTTGACGTAAAAATCACGACTATGATACGACGTCAACTCACATGCATGTCGCGTGCTCGAAACAGCTGATAGTCTGCAAGTTCGCTGCGTTTTACGTGTGAAACGCGTACGCGTACGTACCGTTCGCACAAAGTCATAGCCATTGATCTCCATATGGAGATCAATGGTCATAGCACACTCCCTGTGGAATATCCATTGATCTCCATTAGTAAGACCACGTACGTGATATCCCACAGGGAGTGTGCTATGACTTTTTATAAACTAAACACTAGATCGTTCTAGGCCAATGAAAATACAGTATTCAAGACGGAGGTATAACAATACTTGATACTGAGCAAGACAATCTATCACCTACCTTTAACCGCCGATGGAGACTATTGTGGTAGCGCCAAAGTTACCGTTTTGATTCCTCTGTCACTTCGCGTGGTCTTGTTCTAGCGACTTTACAAATTCTTGCCTAATTCCCAACTTGAAAAAAACCTCGCTAGAATGCCTCGTCGATGTGAGTGTTCTTGTCTGACGATGTCGGCAGAGATTATGGTTCTAATCCGAAAATGATACAGAACAATAAAATAGATCCTACTTCCTCCGTACCAAGCCTGTGTGTGCTTGCAGTCAGCACGCGCAGTGTTAGGAAAAGTGCTTCGTTCATTTCCAGCGTATGCTGGACTACGTTTTGGCGGCCCTTTTCCTGGTACATGTTTCTGACGTCACAGCCATGACGTGAAACAGGTTTCCAACGCTTGAATGAGTGGGTGGGGCCAGGCTGGATAGGAAGGGGGGATGAGGAAAGTGACAAAGTATTAGATAATTTTTCGTCCAGTACACGGTTAGTCTGAATTATAAAACGCACATAAAAACAGGATTGTATAAACATCTTTTAATTAGCAATCTAAACAGTACAAAATCTATAAAATATGACATTTTGACTTTAGTAAGAACTGATTAAAGCTATTTACTACAATTCAAGTCTTGAAACAAAGCCCCGAAACGGAATTAGGTATAATCATAAATCGTGTTCTAACTCTGTGTTATATTAATCAGTTGTGAGAAATCAGTCATTTAAAATCCACATAAAACACTGGAAGTGTGTATAATGCTCTAAAATGGTAGTATTTTAATTTGCCAAATTGCTTAGATTACAGCTGAAATACCAAGCCTCTCCGTCATAGACATATTTAAATAAAGTCAACATTACGTTAATCCAAAATTTAACAAAGCAACAATTAGTCTTCGAACCACGGGATATATGCTCTCTTCTTTTGTTTCACACACAAATTCCGCCCACAACGCAGCACGCCCTCTTTACATGAACCAATGAAGTGAGGGCATGTGACCACGTGCCTATTAACAACCGTCTGCGTTTTGTAAAACCTTCGGACGCTGCGACATTGCAATTCACCTTGTCAACCCTCTAAACAAAACTGACAGTCATACTGACGAACAGGCAGACACACGAACAAAGAAGCAAACAAGCAAACAAACAAACAGATATAGATCACAACACCAAATCACGCAAACAATTACAACTAGGCACTGGCATTATACAGTGATCATAACCCTACACCCCAACCATCTAAATTTAAACAAGTTGGCATTTGTTGTATAAATTTATTATTTACATTTATTTCGAAGCTTTATGTCACTAAAATGTACATGTATGTATTAAACACTTGCGTCGTTGCTCTCTAAAAACTATTCTCCAAACTTGTTAAAGCTTTCGAAGGTTGCCCTGTGTTGTTTAACGCACAATCGTGACTCCGTATAGCCACTAAATTACGTGAGTTCAATAAGGTGCACGGTTTTGTTGTTGTTTCTCCTTCAGTTCACATATGCTCTCCTCTTAATCAATGTTCTTTTGTGCTAATTATCTACAATCTATCTTCAAAATACTCAAAATATTGGCACTAAGCGCTTTGGTCAAATCTGTACACTTTTCAAAGTATCATCAAAGCTATATACATTAGAGCGCCCTCTGTTGATCAAGGAATAACCACGCAAATAATTAATTCAGCTGAATGGCCTGGGTCGGCCCATTGGTCATCTCAACAATGCTGCTGCAGATTTATGTTTTGAATTATGTGCACAACGTGTCCGAAGTCAAAAGAGGGCGCTAAGCTTAAAATGGTTCCGTCGATAAAAATGAAAGATTAAAGAAGTATCAGCATTTTTACAAGAAGTAGGCCTAGATGCCATGTTTCGGTAACGCATTAGTCATTTCAAAGTACTACATCAGCAAGTTTAAAATAAAATACCTAACATGGCAAGAACAATAATTTGCTTGGACAAATAATTTACATGGATTAATATGGGTAGAAAATATGAGTGGAAGAATTTAAAAAAAAAATGTCTCGCTCATTGATCGCTTTTGTCACGTATCCCATTGAAGGGTAAAATCAATCTTGTTGGTTTATAACTCTCACGGTTTTGGTTTAATATACAAAAGCATTGTCTATTTTCTCTAGCTTTCTTGACATAATTTAGTTCAGAACTGCATAGAGCTTAATTAAATAGTCAGGTACTCGGTGGTAAACTGCATCACTAAGCAACTTTACATAGTAGAACACGCGTGTCTAACCCTTTATGTTAACACTAACTGGTACCCTCGGTTGGTGGTGTCCGTGCTTCACGCTATTTCCCATATAATGGGTTGACATAAGTAGACGTCGACGGCTTGTAGATAGGGTTTTGCGCCTGACGAAAATAAAAAAGATTATCAATTATTTAGGAAGACTGTACGCACGGTTAATACATACAACTATACAGGCACTCTAACGCACATGTACACCAGACGCTACGAATTTATGCACAACCAATCGAGTATGCACGCGCGCGCTATATTCCAGACGCCTGCGTGAAGTGCGCGCACGCACCATGCCCTATTTTTATTGGCTGTTGTGCGTTAACCACGCCTTGCCTTTATATCTATATCTTTCTTTAGAGTTTGCAATTCAAGTGAATGAATCTTTGATTCTATCCCTTACCTGATCCCAGACTGCCGACTTCTGCTCTTTCTGGAAGCGCGCAAACTCCCTCTTATCGTGCAAGAAAGTAGCCGCTCTCAGGAGTGCCAGGAGTACAAGGCCTATCAGTACGATGGCAACTACTGTGCTGATGACAAAGATAAATATCTCGCTGCCTGAAGCATCTTTCTCAACAACAGGGCCATCGCCGTCGTTTCCTCCACTCCCAGAATCACCTCCACACTCTGGTTTAAAAAAAAAAGTAAGTAAAATAACTCCACCATTATCGTGTTTGTAGCTCATTTTATTTTAACCCTTGTGATATTCTGTTAATTGGAACTATTATAGAAAAGGAAAAGCTTTTGTGAAAACTTTCTTTTTACCTCCTGGTTCTACCAAGTGAACTAGTATGGTGCCATTGCTGAGTGTCTCGTACACGAAGCTGTACGTCTGGGAGCAGTTGCTGTGGCCTTCGGGTACAGGGAACACGCACAGACTGGATCCGTTTACTGTAGCATTGATTGAAACGGTACAATGTAAAAAAACACATAGTTGCAACATCAAAAAGCTTTCGAAAAATGTTTTGAAAAAGTATAGATATGTAACATTTGGGATTTCATCAAGAAAAATTTAAAGTCATTTACGGTAGGAAAATATCATACCAGCAAAATTGCAAGGAATACTTCCGGGACCATGGGAAATCGGAAATGCATGACTCTGTAACTCGCAAACAACGTCTATTTGTCTACAAAGATGCTCATAGTTTCTTGCAATCACTTTAAATCTCACGCAAAATGGGTTTCAGAAAGTCTTGTAAAAGTAAAGGTGAAACGCGGATGCATGATGAAAAGTACCTAACATTCGAAATATGAACAAATCCTGCGCCAGACAAATGTAGTTCTAGCAAAATGTGTCATTCTAATTGTGTCAATTCTATTCATTTTTTGTTCATAAACCCATTAACAGTTATGTCTTTTTCCCGTGATGAAATACACTAAGGCACCAACTACACTGAAAAAAATAAACCACCACCTACTCGTTGGTAAGTCTCTCTCGATCACCACAGCCACGTTGCACTTGTTACAATCCGCGGGTGAGATATCTACACCGTAGACCTGACACTCCACACAGGGTCGGTAGGACGAACATTTGCCGATACAAGTCTAGGAAGAAAATGATAAACAAAATTAAATCAGGAAGTTGATACCAAAATCAAATCAATTTAATATGCCCAACTCAAATCAGTTTATACCAAATTCAAATCAATTTATATCAAACTCAAATCAGTTCATACCAAACTCAAATCAGATTACACCAAACTAAAATCAGTTTATATCAAACTCAAATCAGTTTATACTAAACTCAAATCAGTTTATACCATAATGAAATCAGTTGATACCAAAACTAAATCGTTTATACCAAAAATAAACAGCTTATAATAAAATCAAATCAGTTTATACCAAAACTAAAGCAGTTAATACCAAATTCAAATCAGTTTATATCAAAGAAGCAATCACGCCAAGCTGGTAAATACTCACATGCATGGACAACCTATTAGAAACAAGATCTCACCACACGCACGAGTTATATATGTCTGATTTTTTTTCAAAAGGAACGACAAACGTTTTTCGAATTGTATTTATTCGTGCAAAATAGGGGCTTTCACAGAGACACACGTTGGTTGAGTAAAGATTAATTTCTGAAAAATTTAAGTCATTGCAAGAACATTTTTCGTGTCAAAAGCATTAGGCAAATTGACTTCTGGAGGATAATAATAGAAGAAAGGAGACTCCCAGGCACCAACCTTACAGACTTCACACGTTTCGCCTTGGAATGGCGACTCACAGGTACACTTGTTGCAGTTGCACCGTCCTCTCCCATTACATATAAGCTGAAACAAAGGATCAAACAAGACGTTTTGAAAAGACAGAAGATTGACAAGTGAATAAGTACTTATTCTTGAGTAGAATTTGTAAGAGAGTCATGCCCAGAAGGACATTATAGATGCTCATACTGTGCAAAGAGAAAACATGCAATTTTCCAAAATCCTTTCCGATTTTTAAACCAAATTCCAGTCACTTGAAAACCTCACTCAAATCATGCCTCTCGGGCAGTTGTTCAGGCAGGGAACCAGTTAACTAGAGAGGGTACCAGTCAACCAGCATAGTACCAGTCAACCAGCAAGGTACCAGTCAGCTAGCAGGGTGCCATGCAGTCATCAATGTAGAGTATCATTTAATCATTGCAGGGTACCAGTTAATACTCAACTCACCCCATTGGAAGCAATGCATGCAGCTGTGGACGTGGCGCAGCCGCAAGCGTTACCAACGTAGCCGGGTCTGCACTTGCACGCACTACGCCGCTTCTTCTCGTCACACACACACTCGCCTCTATCTGGCCCTGTCAAAAAAAATTGCGGGGAAATAATCAGACGATCAAGAACCACAATTAAATAAGTGATATTTATCAGAAATATTTGAAATACACGGAAATGTTCAATACAACTTTGATACATTTGGCATTAAGCGTCTTCGGTTTTTATGTATAATGCTTACCTCCGCACAATTCTGAATCGTATCGTTCGCACGAGAAATTGTCGCATTCACAATACCGTCCCGAAATGATCTCCTTGCGATTCTGAAAATATATAAGACAGATTTAACAATCGTAATAAATGTCCTCTTTTTTTTTGCCTCGGAGCAAGAACTGACTAAACGATGTATTATGATATAGTCCAACAGTACACGGGATGTGGGTTCGAAAGACGAGTACGTATTTGCTTCAACTTGGTCAGTATGATCGACACAGGCTCTCGCCCATTTGGGCTTTAGGGGCAAGGTGGTATTGCAGAGAGACAGATCACTCAGTGTATGTTAGCCTTACCTGGCGTTCGAAACAGGCACACTCCCCGCATATACATTCACCTCGGCCCGAGCACACAATCGAAGATGTCGAATTGGTGTTCCTATGAGGAAACAAGTCAAGCAGTTTGAAAATACACCGAAGTTGTAATCTCCCGAAGTTGTAATTTCAATATGCGTGGTGTGAGAGTGCCCTCAAGAGGCTGTGCGTAAGAGGTTTTTTTTTTCAGACCAAAGAGAGATGATTGACTTACGCTCTACACGATGCGACGTTTTCGTACTTATCCCTGAATGACGTGCCTGCATCGTCAGTGCTGCTACACTCACACTGCTTACCATACCGTCCAGGATCGCACGCACACTGACCACACGATAAGGTGCCGTTACCATTTGTACAGTACTCACTGTTAGGAACCTGCAGACGAAAGAGGAATTTCAAATTTTTGAGTCATTCCCTTGTTTGGAGAAAAACAGTGTGTCGAATTACTCATTCTATGCGTGTTATGTCGGCCTTTCGCAATCTGAAGAGGTTATTGCGAAATAACACAGTAACCTATAGTGAGACTCCAACAAACGTTTTTTTGGCGAGTGAAATCTCGATTTTGGAACGCGTCAATGATTTTCTTACCGCTGATGCCTCACACTCGCACTCGCAGGCAACTTCGACCGTGATCAATATAGATTCGTCGAATCCAATCGGCCCAATGGAGAACCTAATTAGGAATAATGACCCAAATGGGAATACGGCATGAATCGAATCAATTTCAAAGTACAAAAGGGTACATAGGCCTATATTTTGTCGATACTTAGACAATAATTTAATTTAAGCGTACACCAATTTCATAGGACGAATTTGCCGAAACTTTTGATACAAATTTGAAATTGAAACTGGCAATTATAAAGCCCTACGATTTGGTGGAACGAAATTAAAGTACACCTTCATTGAATTTGGTACAACGGTAAGAGTAATCGGTAACACCTATATTAGTATAGCTATAAGAGAAAAAAAGTGTAAACTTCTGCTCTGTACTTTACTTGCAGCTCAGTTTGAACAAATATGAGCTTGTAGTATACTTTTGTATGTTATTGTCCGGGCAACTTGTAGCCTCCACGCTGACATCAAAGCTGACCGTCTCACCGAGGCGTAGCCCCGTACAGACCTTGGAGTTTGGTCTCGGTGCCTCGTCCAGGCACCGTGACGTGTAACTCACGGCAAGATTCTCCGGGGAATTGTCCACGATCTCCACCCGCGATGTGATTTTCTGTTGGGGCAATCGATCACAGTTAGATTAACACTGTGCGATCTTTATATTGAGCAGCCATTCCGTGTAATTCCCAGACGGTGTTACTTAAACACTGTGACACTGTAGGATACTACAGCCTTTCGTTATCAGGATTTATCACATTGACACATCCTGATGATGTACATGTTGCTATTTGTACACTGCAAACTCATGTACATGTATTACTGTACTTGAACTTCCGTGATTATTCTATTAGTTCACTTAACCTTCACGTGACTATCAGAAACAAATTCATTGGTCTAAGACGTATCCTCACGTGACCATGAGATATAACTTGATTTGTATGACTTACTATCCCTCTGTAAAACACAACCTTGTTTTCTTTTTCAAATATGTAAACTTTTTAAGCCTTGCATTTTTACCTCATAGTTGTCCTTGATCAATTGGACAACATTTGAAGAATCTTGAGCCAGCGTGCCCACAGTCGAGCCTTCGATAAACCGAGCGAGAGTCTGTACGTGAAGAGGACAAAATTAAAAACAACTTAGAATGTTCAGTTATTAAAGCAGATGTCTCTTCTACGTTTTAGATTCGCATTAATATCTGATTTAGTATATAGTTTTACCTTTTGGAGTTGGTTACACTGTTTGCATAGTTCGCAAAATGAATCAGTTAAAATGCACACAGCACTGAGGGTGATAGGAATCGTGGGTCCTCTGGTCCAACCGCACCTATCCTGATAATGAAGCGATTTTGAACGAACCCGTTTTTGTCTAAAACTGTTGGCAAAGTCAGGTCTGTACAAAGTAAACATGGACAAAACTGCCTAATAATTACCTGATATAAGCTCATTTGTTTGGCCGTCACGGCGAAGATTGGGATGACGTTCTGCTCTCTCATTCGGACGTTCAGGTGCCCGATAGATGGGTAATCCTATCGTGAAATGAAAAAGAGCATTGGGTAATGCTATAAGTTAACATGAAGGATACTTAGGCCTTACTGTACACTTTGCCTAGATACAGATTTAGCGTAGTATTGGTAACGTTAGAGAGTTACCGCAACAAGCAACATAATTGTTTATCAAACAAATGAAAAGGTATCCTACAACATTTGCTTTTGCTGTAAGTTTCAGAAATGGATGGATTTCGGCGTTAGCATTTTATAGCAAAAATTATTGTTACACTGACCTGTTTAAAGGTGTGTGTTTATAGATGGAAAAACCAAGGAAAAGTGTTCTGTATTCTTGTAGTCAAAACAATTGTAGTCTAATTGTGAGGTAAGGGAACCAGACTAGCTGGCTCGCACCCGTTCACGGATGTGTAACCGATTGCAAACAAAATGTGCATCACTGAATTTGGTAATTGGGGGCAGTATTTGAAAAAAGTAAAAAAAGACGATGGTCGGCCCAACTGCAGAGAACATCCTACCCATTGATGTTGCTTTCCTGAGATACACAGAGACAATTGCGGTAAATTGACTTGCTCATGGACAACGAATAATGGTCTTACATATTCATTAGCCTTTGTGTTGTAGCCCGTGTCTGGGTTGAGATGACACTTTCCATCATTTGGTTGTACAACGCCGCCAAGCTGAATCAAAAAGTATTGAAAAGGTTCACAAAATGTTATATTTTAGTTGTACACAGTTCACACAAAAGTAAACTCGTTTTTCGCTTTCCTCAACAGTATATTTTAAATATATATATATGCCCTACCTTTCCATCACCTGCAAAATGGAATGATCCATCGCTAGTGTAGACGACGATGTGCCTCGCTCTCGGCAGCCAACCAATCTGATCCTAGCATGCAAATTAGAATGATTGCCATCACCAGGGATTATTTCTCTTACAATGTAAATTTGATTTGTAAATTGGTACACTTTCAATTATTACAGTGTATGGTAAACAATGCGGAGTAAATAGGGACTTATTAATTTCTTTTTTAGGAAGTCATTGATTGTTCAGATGTGAGAATTGTCGAATCTAATAGCTATACACTTGATAATGCACGATTATTCATAACCTTCAGTGACGTCACCTACTTTGCATACTGTGACCTGCATGAGGGCGTCAAGGCCAGCCTCGGGAAGATCCAAGTTACCGGAGACTGATGTTTCGTTGACTCTTTGCTGAACAAGCAATGGAACAAATTTTTGTCATGATTTCAAAACAACTTTCCAAAGAAAACCACAAAAACATAATGTTTACGGTTTACCAGCCAAAACTGTCACACGTTCTGTAGTGCGTGTGGCTGGTTCACGACTTATTTTGCTTGCTAATATTACTAAAAAATATCAATAATTATAAAGATCAAAATAACATAATCAGAACCGTTTACTAAGGCCTTATATAAACAATTCGTTAAATACGAAGGCATCTTACTATACAAGGGCTAATTTTCTCACCGAGAATAAGTCAGTGTTGATGTCTAAGGGTAGATGATTTCTGAAGTTATAGGGAGCTTCACAACCTGGACATGGTTCCATAAGACTGTGGAATAATATTAAAGAAGGGAAGAAGACAATGTAATAGAAGAACAACTAGAGGTTTTGCTTCCACGTTTATGTAAAATGCTATAGAACCGAATCCAAGACCCTTATATTTGGATAGCGTTAATTTCTGTACGAGTAGCTACAGTTGAAGGGCATAAAGAGGCTAGTAATTAGAAGCGTAATCAATTGCAATGATAGGCTCCGTTTTAAAGAGAACGTAATTCACCTTCCAATTGCAGTGTCGACGTAGGGCGCCACCGTTTTCTCGACGAATGAACCGAAGCCTAGACGAAAGTTCCTTGTGATGTTCCCAATCTCGTACGCTGCAAAAACACCAAGAAAGGTAGATTTTGTTTTTACAATCGTGCTTAATTATCGATATTCTTCTCGACACTTTGTTTGTCAACTTTTTGTAGATTCACAACCAAGTTGTTTTTTTTTCAACTCACAAATCTACCGCAGAACTGAATCCTGTAGCATCATGGTTGAATGCCAAACGGACATGAGCGTGAACCAACGAGCGTCCTTCACTATCAGTTATTTGTTGCATTGTTACCGTTGAGGGCGTATATGCGGGGAATCCATACCTAATGTTGTAGCCAGTTCTTTCAAGTTGTCCAAGTCGTCCTGCATGGATCGGCTCAGATCCATGACGTAGTACAGATCCACTGGGTAGTCTCTCGCTTGCCGTACCGATACTGTCAAATCGGCTGTTTCCTCTACACGAAACAGACAAAACCGAATGATCGAAATAATTGACATGGAAAATCAATATTTATTGAGTCTGACTGGTTCATCTCATTTAACAACAAAACTCAAAAGAGGTTTCACAATTTAGTACCGTCGATTAGACCAAATCTCGTTCGTGAGTACAATATCAATTAATTTTTGCTCGATCGAGAACCATACAACAATTGGAAAAACAAAATCGACCTTCAGTAGGTATTATCGCACAAAATCTGATATAAGTGGAAAAAAAATCGCATTTGTAACAACGAAATTGGTACGGTCACAAATATACATGCAGAAATCGTTACAATCAATAAATAATCGATACACTGTATATTGCGTCAGGAATCGGGCACACATTGCACGCAGCGAATACACAGTATAGCATCAATTCAAACCACTGAGGTCAACTCATTCTTCAGCAGTATGTATTTAAGTCAAACGGCCCAGTATCAACATTGGATAACATATTGGAGAGATATAAGTCACGACCCCTTTTAAGATCTAGATACAAAAACACGAGCATCTTGTGCTGTCTCCCTGAGTGCCCCTTGCCGCTGAATAGCATCACGAGGCTCTCTTTGGATGTTTCTTACGCTCTTCCTAAACTGTTGGTTTTTGAACATTTATTTAGTATTATTCGCATTATTCTCAATTTATATACGTTAAACACTGAATATATGCAGAAATTAAGATGATGCAACAGAGGCAGATAACCTTATTTGCTCAATAATTTGTTGAAAAAGGTTTTGCTTAGATCGACCGGGCCACGGCGCCCAACTTACTTGGCCGTAATTTCAACGTGATCTTCTGGGGCGCCACTTGCACGGCTTCCGTAGATGGCCCTTCACCGGCGTCGCTTAAAGGATCATTCTGTGGAGTAGATAAGTGATGAAGGAGTTACCAATTCAACAACAACATCGAATGTATTCAGATTTACATGTACATTGCACAAACTTAGACAAGTGTGTATTTGCCTGCAATCGGGGACCCCTATTTTCCCTCTTTTGATTGTACACGAAGACCTCCCATATTTTGTACACGATCGCCAAATTGGGGACCTTCGGGAATTGGGGACCCTACTGTCCTCGATTGTTCAACGTCCCCTATTGAATGCAGAAACAAACTCTGGTAGGGCCTACACCGTACACTACACATAACACACAAACGTACACTCAACAAACTGTGGACGTAATATCTGTATCGGTGGAATGGCTTGATATATATTGCCCCTATCTCTGTGTCGCAGTAAGACGTACGGCGGATAGTGACCTGTTCGTAATATCTTATTGCTCGATCTTCTTTCAGGTCTTGCCAAAATAACCAAAATTTACTCCTTATTTGCCTGAATCACTCGGTGGGGTAACTTACCTGAACAACTGTTACACTGCTTTCAGGGAATGTAATATCTTGACAAGTTTTGTTCATCAAGTTGGCTTGTAAATCACATCTTCGAAAGTTCGTCTCCTCTGCATAACCCTAAGAAAGATGACGACAAGGATGTATAAAAGAGAAAATACATTGAGAGGAAGTATATTATTAGAAACCCACGAACCCAAGACCAGGTGCTTAGTAGTGCAATACCAATTTTGCTGGTATCTATACAAATTCGAATCCAGTATAGCGTATTGGTACACCATTACATCTCTCTGCATTTTTATTTTCCCAGAAAGAGATCTCCGGTCGTGTCCTCAACTAGATGTGCTTCTATAAAGAGGTACAATTGCACTGCGTAATAAACACCACGTGCTATCTTTATTACATGTGAGTTTCAATAAAGATTCTGCATGGTGTAAATTTAACACCGTTATAATAGTGTAGGATCTCAGACACGGACCTGATCCCCGCACCAGCCACACATTGGATCCAGAGCAATACACTCCCCGCATGTCCTTGCCGCTGAGCAGATGTTGTCCTGTAAGTCTTGGGGATCGATTGGCGGTGGCTCTGTAACTGCTTCAAATATGAACATAGAAATGCCATGAGCAAAATTATGCTTGATTGCGAAACATGCAGATAATCTGCAAAAGGGTCAAATGCAGATAGGATAATTTGCTCTTCTTCTTCTTTTTTGTTTCCAATAATGAAAACCCTCAAAATCCAAAGGAGAATGCTCAAAACCACACATGTTCAAGTTTCACCCCAGTTTCAGCCCATGCAATGGATATTTCACTTTTTGAGAAAACTGTGCAAAACTATGAACAGCAGGTGTGACAACGAAACAACTGATCGTTGAAAATCACCTTCTATCTTGATTTCGTCAAAATGACAGCAAGCCAGACGGAATAATTTCACGGGATGTTTTAGTACCAGTACGGTCTTTAAGGTTTAAGGCAAAGTTGTTTGATAATAATTTGTTAAGTTACTTTTGGGGTAAATGCAATATCCCTATAAACAATTAAATGTTCTAGAGGTAAAGCCTTTGTTATACCATATAGAGCAAGGTTATACGGGGGCGCGGGCGCCGGGGGATGGGATGTTCCCCCAATATATGCACATATTTTCCTAGCCCCGAATCGCATCATTTCCAGCTAACATTTTCCTGAGATTCTGCTGTCATGTATGAAGAATAATTTGCAAACTTTTGAATATCGAAATTGGTTTTTTGTTTTTTTCCTTTTTTAACAACGAAAGTAATTAGATTTTCCCAATATTCCAAGAACGATACCGATACTCCAACACTAAAAGTTTGGTAACCGATATAACCATCTAATTTCTGCAGTTTAGAGCCGAGCCTGTCATTATTATTTTGATGGGGGAAATAAAACAATTTTTTTTTTTAAATCCCAAGGTTTTGGTCTGTTTGAGCACAGTGTTTCTGCTTCCTTGTTTTACATGACGTGATGTGTGTTGGAAATAATGTGTTTTAGTAATTCGTCCGCCAACTGCAAAAACAGGAAATAGCCAAGATAATCGAAACTAATTACCCATTGTGGCGTTAAGAGACGTTTCTACAATTGGTGGTTCACACGAATAAAAGAAAATGATGTCATTTTTAACTTCACTAGGACCATATTCGGAAAACGAAAGAAGAAATGAAAAATCAATAAGGAAAATCCTAAAACAAACAGAAAAGTCCCGTGGGGAAAAAAAAACAGGTTTTGTTCCTTAAAAATCAGGAACTTGTGTTGCTGTTTCATGATACATTTTTGAAAAAAATAATAATTTCCAAGTGAAGTTTAATACACTGTATAGAGAAATATTATTCTTCTATATAATTGGCAGTTAAATTTGGGAATGAAAATTAAGAGCACCAGCGTAAAGTAGCCACATTTTAGATTCTACATTTTTTATCCAAATCTCAAGAAAACAAAGAAACGAAATCAACACACTAATATTATGCATCGTCGGTTCAGTGCTAAAAGGTCCCTAGTCGAATGATTTCTGGCGGACACTCTTAGGTCAGATTTTGAGCTTGAAAAGCTATATTACTTCAGACTGACACAACTTTCACACTGTTTTTTTTTAAAAACTATCCTCCCCCAACAATTTGATTAGACTTTGTAGTTTTTTGCTCTTTGGTTTGTTATTTTAAGGGATTTTTGTTGTTGACACATTGCCCGAATTTTCCAATAAGGAACTTTTTGTACTGAGACGACGATAGGTAGCAATGTACGTTTCAACCTGTTTTGTAATGTATTCCAGTCCGGGTAGTGACTAAAAATAGAATATAGTAGAACAGAGACCAACTACTACAAACATCTTACCTTGCGCATTGCACATCGTTGATAGCAAACTTAGCATCATGGTGGCCCATATTAAATGTCTGTATCTGTACCCCCCGTCCATGTCTGCTGACAGTTTAGCCGGATTTTCCTTTCTCTCCCGGGGGACTGTCAAAATAATCACAGGAAAAAGTTCATCAAGGTTTGTCCGGTTCAATTTCATCCATTTGATTGACTACAAGATCCTTTGACAATTAAGTGAGAGAGAAGGTGTCTAAAATAGATGGTAACTAATTAGGAATGTAGTAAATTTGAAGATGCATGTTAGACCATAGAGATATGGTTAGACCATTTGGCAAAATTTTTATATTCGACCGTAATGTTCCAGGTTTTTTAAGCTCTGGCAGGAACTTCTACATGTCATTTGGTGGTCGGTCGGTCGGTCTGTCCGTCTGTCTGTCCCCAGAAAGTTGACCGAAAGTATGGTGTTCCACATGTGCCATCGGCGTCGCATTTTTCGGCGTCGCATTTTTAAGCTCTGGCAGGGATCATTTTGATCGATTTCATGCAAGAGATCATGCAAGACTTCTCGCAACACGGCCAGAGCTTATTGTGTACACTCGCACTTGTTTATTCTCCTATTTGGTGCTCGATCGCTTCTCATATAGGCACTACACCCTATATCTTTAGCCATCCCTACTTTATGATTTTTCCATATTTGATATCCTTAAGGAGCTCATTATCCAGCCGGTTTGTATCGTTTCAGCATCAATAACGCCTGCCAAATAGTTGTGGAACTTGACTTTTGTCTTCCCATGCCAAACCCGAACCGGAATCATAACGCACGAAAAAAGGGGAAAATTCAAATAATTTCCTAGTTTAATTCCTTAATTCGGACTTCTCAGCTCACCGCTCACATGATGCAATTTTCAATTTTGGTCAATTTCAAGCAATTCATGGAGCGCCCATGCCCAGTCGATCAAAAACAAAACTTAGCCGTTTATGGAGCGTCCAATCTATCAAAATCAATCATTCTGAAAACACATCACACTCACAGTGATTAAAATCACTGATGATGGTTAGGCATCTTGCGTCAATTACACATTTTATAGCGAGGGGTTGGAGACGCAAACGCAACAAGACGGACTGACAGGGACTCCCGGGGTGGGGTTGGTATTAAAGGGTGGGAAGGGGAGTCGAGGTCACCAAGAGGGCGTGGTCAGTGTCAATCCAGCAGGAGGAAAGCTCGGATTCTACCTTTCGTACATTATCAACCCATGCCCAGTAATAGGAAGGCACCACTTATCTCGTTACCACCGCCATTATTATTGTATTATAAACAGCAGGGTCCGGCGCGCTACATCTTTATCCACACACAAGCCGGGAAATGCTCAAACCAACCCCGGGATTACACCTCTAGTCTCCCCTCGTAATGGTTACACTACCCACACTTGATTTCAGAGCTTTTTCAAAGTTATCAACAAAAGCCAAAACGAAAACAAAGAAAACTTTACCTTTTCTGAGTCCAAATCAAAAACAGGTCGTCTAAGCTGACAGCAAGTTGAAAACAAACTGGTGTGACAAGTCTAAAATTCACCTCAAAGTGGGATTGGTTTGTTGTTTTGTGATACAACCAAACCCGCGGAAGGAAATCTGTAATTCCGGTATGTGGACATGTGTGGACCAACAACCGAGTTAACCTAACTTCGTGTGGGCGAACTACTAGTCATGTCAAGGACCTTTACATTCACCATACCGCCAAATATCAGCAGCATGTCATTGTTTGTTTTTCAAAGGACACCTTAATCATGCAAAATTAGCATATCCCAAATGACTACAATACGTGTTTTCTAAGACAACAAACCTTATGTACTGCAGCCATCTTGGAAGGTACACTGTTTGTTTTTATTGGATAGGCATAAGTAGACCCGTTAATTAGTCATATAAATTTACACACAAGTAAGAAAGCCGCTATTGCTCTAATACACCTCATTTTGTTCTTACTAAACTTTATATACTGGCTGCCGCCATTTTGTAGTAGAAACTGTTATACATTCGCGAGATTTTACGAGAGTATCACGTGAATTGGTGGGAGTATAATACGACTTCAATACTGTTATTCTCATTGTGGAGTATGTCATCCGCGATGCACAATCCTCGCATTGTAATTCGAAATAAACAAATTAACCTAAGCACTGTTTGTACATGTAGGCTTAAGGCCTATATGCCTATAGTGACGCATTTTTGTTAATACATATAGACCTATGAAGCATTTTTGTTAATACATGTATTAAAAAATGTGATGACCAAATTGGGAAAATTCATGATGGTGGGAATGTCATAATGTTGTAGTGAGATAAGGATTTCGTGCATTTTGTTTTCATATAGTTTGTGCATACGTGTGAACGTGTAATTGACGTCATATATTTTCACGCTTGGTCTCCGATGCTACGCTTTACGAGTGCAAAGCAAATGTCAATGTCATACATCGCGGACCGTTTGTTTCTGTGCAAGATTTAAATGTCAGACATATAAATTATTCAAAACATTCTGTTAAACTTGCATAAAAGTAGTGGAGAAAAGTATTATTTTGGGATGGAAATCCTTTTTAGGCTAGTCACTCAATGATCTTAAATGGAATATCAAAGAAGGAAAAATCACACATTTTGTTGCTCGTTAAACATAATTTAACAAAATAAAAATTAAAAAGACAAATAATTAAAGAATCTTAAAATAAGCTGAAAATACTTTACTTTCTCTTTTTTTTCCGTAATCCATAGATAAATCAGTTGAGATTTATCGATTCCGAGGTTGAAATGACAACAAAACTAAACATTAACAGTAATTTGATGCTGCTTTCTTCCTGTATTTTTTAACATTGTAAAACTCAAAACATCGTGTAATAATGTTTAAAGATTTTTTTAACAAAATTATTTCCCTAGTATCTCAAAATATTATAATACATTTGACTGAGCTACGTATCGTTCACTTCCTTATGCTTCGGTCTCCGTCAAGTAAAATCATTGGTTATTCATCCTCTGTCAATGGCCTTTTGCCCTGAGACAAAATCTAAAAATATCTCTACTTGTTATCGGCGGTTTTCCCAATAGTCTTTCGTTTTCTGTTTTTATTCTGTCCGAATGGCCGTAGATTTACGTGCATATGGTTTGTCCTGCACGCTGTTTGATACAGTCCGCATGATAATGCCTGTCCTACGGCTCTTCTTTTCACTGTCATGCCTCCCTTGTGGGAATCAAATTATGGACAAGCAGTATACGGTGAAACAAAATAATCGTTTTCTTGTTACCACATCGTGCATCTGATTTGTTTTAAATATGTTAACCTTTGAACTCAGAATGCTTACTCAAGCAAAAGAAAGTCATGAATAATTATTGTATCCATGTACTTGCCATTAGAAGATAATAAAATGTGTATCGTTTAGCAGGAACAACGCCTGAATTATTAAATGATTAAAATGGCCATGCAATACAGTATTAGTTGAATATTCGGTTGACATATTTCGAATTTCAAGAAATACAAGTAGTACTTTTTGTTTTCATGAACTTATATACGGAACGTAAAATAAAGCAGAAAATTGTAAGACATCCTTTGACAGAAGCAGAAAGACTGTTTCTCATGAATAAATGTAGTTGAATTAAGATTGATTTTGAACTGCGATAGAATCCCATTTCACTGTGTGTGTTTTTGACCACTTGCAAACAAACACCAGTTTTGTTCCGTAGTTGTGGGGACATATACGCTCGTCTATTTTGTGGGGACCGAAAACGCTGTGGGACAGCAGAAAGTCCCATAACTCGGTCCTAATTTGCCTTACAATAAAAAACTTCCCTAAAAAAACGCGGTGTAGACGTGCACCGAGATGACCTCAAATTAATGTTAATCATTTTGGTGGTTTTTTTTTTCCTGGTTGAGCGAATATTGTGAAGAACGACCAACAACAAAACAACACCTCGGGCTAATTATTATCTTAACTATAGGGAGGAACCATCCATTTATGTGGACGGTATCCATTGGCTTAAAGGCAGGAAGACAGCAATACCCCTCTGAGATCCCCCGGCGACAAAATTGGCTGGTCTTAGATAACGGATGTCCTGCAAGGTGTCGACAGATGAATCCCCTAACACAAATATGCGCTGAAATCCGTGCGCCTATGTAGAATTAGGTGCAGTAATTCTTTAATTCCCTGGTTTTATTCAATTAAGAAACACGTATTTTTCATAGTGCTTTGGAAATCCTACTTGAGCTAAAAGTTTAACAAACAGGATGAGTTAAAACGGACATTTTTTAGTGGAAGATTAAAAGTGTTTATACTAGGGAAAGCAGATTTTACCCAGGTCATTGTCGATGGATGACCACGACCGTATAATCGATTAACAGACTTGATGCGCGTCTCTAACGTGACCTAGACTTGACCCAAATCCCTGAGTTCATGGTTGAAGCGTAAATAGCCAGTTTGCTAGTCAATCTTCGCAATTTCATTTCATTTTGAGAGATAATTTAGTTTTAAAGATTGCCCGTTCCTGATGTAAAGGAGGCAGAAAAAGTGCAGCAAAACTTTTTGTGGTAAAAAAAAAATCGCTTTAAGGCGCGCAATATATGCCTAAATCTTGATTCACTCTTCGTGTCAACTGTTAAACACTGGAACTCACTCTCCTCGGCTGCTACTGCTAGGCTGTGAACAGCACAACTCTAGCTGAATTCAAGGGACACATCAGTAATCTATAATAATATCTACCAGTAGTCTATTTCCACACGCAGTGCGCAAGTTAGCGTTGATGTATCCGGCAGGATATTTTGCTGACTTGACCAATGGAGATAGAGATGAACGAAACATTGGAAAACGTTGAATGAGCGCCAAATTCAGGGTGTCCGTCTTAAAGTAAAATCTGCCGTCAAACACGTTTGTGTATGCGGGACTGGCATGCAAGTCTAGCATCGATCCCTCCAATGTCCGCTGATACGAACTACGAATGCAAGACACGATGCACGGATAGCCGTTTGCTCTTTTCCGCGAATCATTGATGCGCTGTCTTCACTAAGCATGATAAGAAGACGTAATGAAGACGTGGATGCATAGGTCATAATTCATGTCATGAGAGTGTTCAGTCGATCGTGACGGATGCACCGTTGCTTGTTTCAATGATTAG